TCGCTGGATCGAATCAATGCAAAATGTGAAAGCACTGAAATGTAAAATGTGAGTCGAATCGAAGTAATAAATAGCGTTATCATTCACTTTTCAGTCATTGTTTTTATAAATTAGTTTGGAAGAATATTGTGTCGACGAATTCACCTTGCGTTCAAGTGTCGACGAATATTCAGTTAAAATGCCGAAGCATGGTGATTGAATAATCTTTAACTTTGCTTTGGTGTATCCGGTGATATTTACTGTATATCACCGGATACACCAAACTATAGTTTACTTTGATATGCATTGACTTTAAACAAGTTCTAAACAAGATACTGATTTTTTTAGAACATAATGACGCAGGTCCAGTTGAATTAAAAATTGGCAAAGTTATTGGCAAACGTTGGCAAATTATTGAAAAACTCGGCGAGGGTGGTTGTGGATCCGTTTATAAGGTTCAAGATATACACACTATGGCTAAAGTAAGTTGGGTTGGCTTATTTTGGTGTCTACGTTAGTTAACCCTCCTGATCTCTCCGACTTTCTTTAGTATCAACGCTTGATGTTTTCGAATCTGTTCCGACACATATTTCAAAACTGGCAGTGCTTCGTTGCGTATGGTACATTGTATGTCAAATGTGCCTAGAGTTTACTGCGAGCAGGTGACGACCGAACGAACCCTGCACTGACCCTTCTCCCGTCCCCTCCTCTCTATCCACTCTTTCAAAATTCAATTAGATGTATGGAACCTAGCTTAGTGAGGTTGTTTCATGCCATATTTAAACAAGTTTATTGCGCAAACTTTTTGTAATTCATTACCTTTTTTCCACATCAGTAACGTCTTCTCTTTAAATGTTTTTGAATCAGCGAAATCGGGTCATTTTTCGCATTGTTGTTTCTTCAAGTGCAATAACCCGCAGTACAGTTAGTGTACGTGGTGTAGATGACCGCTAAACTGCGAGCGGCTGAACCGCTCTATATTTTAGTTTCTAGAACGAAACGGTTTGTATGAAGCTGTTGCTTTTGTTTCAATCTGAATATATGTGCATTCATAATTCTGACTTCAGTGTGATGAATGGACGAGTGGTGGCAATTAATTAGTTACGGTGATTGGTACGGTCCAGTTTTTTGATGCAAACTCCACTTATAGTCGTAGTTGTTATCTTTCGCCAGTCATGTCACCTTCGCAGTAAATGGTGCTCTCATTTGCAGTGTACTTGCACCAATGAAGCGATTCTATCACACCGAATTTTTAACGGTAGAAGAAGCACTGTATAGCATTGTAGTATGACACAGCCACAGTACTGAGCCAAGGCACAACATTCACTTCTGTTTGTATCTCATCCAACTCAGTGATTGCTAAGTTGGACGAACGTCCATGGTTGCTATCTTTAAAAGATCTTCAGAGCTCTCAAGTAATCATTATATCATACAATATAAACAGGTTGAATAATTTGACCATATTTAGGCTGCTCTTAAAGCCGAATCGAATTTCATTGCTGGTGGGAGCGTGTTGAAGCTTGAAGTGCAGGTATGTCCGGTAATTCCAAGCCTTATGAACATAATTTCCTTCCGTTTCATCATCGTTCTTGTCAAGGTAGACGGGAGGATTTCTATTATCCGATGAATTCATTCATATCTTCCGGCATCGTTCTGCATCCGGTGATCCAGTTGGCAAACTTGTCAGATAGTCATAGGCGTACCACCTAAAGCAGAAGCAAGTTTTACGGACATTTGGTTACACCACATTCATATTGGGTTAAAATTACATGAATCGCAGTTCTGAAATAGTGTTGAAATGAAATTTTAAGTGAGCGGAGGTTTGTCGCAAGTTCAAAAAAAAAACACCCCAAATATTTCAAATTATATCCTTATGATGTAATTTCACTCCCCAAAAATTCGATTTATTGAATCCAGAATATTGGTTCCAGGTTCTAAAACGTTTAGAAGGTCGTCGTTACGTTGCACAATTATTACGATCATCAAAAAAATCTCTGTAAGGATGCAATTTTCTAAGTTATGAAAACAATCTGAATTATCAATATAGATCAGCCTAACTGCTCAATTTTCGCTCTAGTTGACGATTAAAACGCAAACAGCGAACAAGATAGTTGACGATTAAAACGCAAACAGCGAACAAGAAGACGCGCTCATTCCTCATTACAGCACTATTGAAAGGCCTGAAAAAATCAAGATTTCTTAAAGAATTTTACAATAAATTCGTTATGCGACCAGTTAATTCGATGAGAACTCCGCATTCGCTGCAGCAGAGGAAAATTAATATCTGAACCGTTAAATTGATGCTCAAGTTTAATTGCGGAAATGAATAATCCACTTAAATCGTTCGCTTACGACGCTGCAAAAGAGAAAAGTTTCAGGTATTCATATATGGTGATGACGTTGTTTGGACATTCATTGTACTATCTTCTGAAACATAGTCCTTACTGCAGTACTTCAACTCAAGTTCGAGTCGGAGTTAATATTTTGTATGGCGTTAAACAATTACATGAGGTAAGTGGGCTGTACAAAATGTTTTCTGTGTTTATTATCGTCCATTGCTTATTGTTAGTAAACCATTTTTTCGAAAACATCCCATGCTTCTAGAAAAACAACTTATTCACAGGTGGGTTTCGTGCATCGTGATATCAAACCAGCGAACTTGGCGGTTGGTCGTCGTGGTAAAGAAATTCACGTTATTCATATTCTTGATTTTGGTCTTGCTCGAGAATTCATTCTCTGCAATAATGCTGGCCTTGTTGAAATCAGAGCACCACGAAGACGTGCATTGTTCCGGTTTGTAGCAATTGCTTCATTTGGGTTATTTACATGAAACTCTTATGGTTGGAAAATCACATATGACTTACTTCAAGTTTTCTCCGCTAGATTCGCGTTTGGACTTAGGTTTAGCTTATGACCGAACTTAGAATAGGCTAGGGTTCACCCATAACAGATTTTATAGGTTATTCCTAATATGGAAAACCGATTGCCGCAGGATTGGTGGTAATGAAAGTAAATTGAGTGAATAATGAACAATTTTCAGCGGGACCGTTCACTATTGTTCTTTAAATACACATGCGAGGAAAGAGCAGGGACGAGGGGATGACCTGTGGTCAATGCTATACGTGCTTGCTGAAATGAAGGGTCCTTTACCGTGGGAGCGTGTTCGGTGAGTCATTACTAATGACTGAATTGATTATGAGTTCGAGGAGGATATTGGTGTCCGTTCACTTGCTTCATGTGAAAGCGGCTTCATTAATGAGCATTAAATTATAGAGGTGATGAGCAAATTGGAAAAATGAAACGAGAAACAACGGATCCGGAATTATTTCGCAATAGTCCCGAGGAACTCATTGATGTGAGTTACCATTCCCCATTTACTTCATGAACTGCATGGTTGAATGATTTGAGTCAAGGTCGTGTAGATCAGTTCGCTCTGATTGAAACGTTCGACGTTCATCAAAGCAGTTTCACATTATGTGCACTGAAGAACTGATTGTGATCCTAATACAGTCACTCGGCGGACGCTGAACGGTCTCCACGATAGCTCATAGGTAGAGNGTTTTGTGTGGCGTGGCAATAGAGGAAGTGGGGAAAATACTCGAAGGTGGACACTGGTTTAGGATCTTCACGCTGGGAAGGGAGACACTTCAATCGCATGTGCAGAACAGGTAGAGAAAGAATGGTTTCCGAACCTATATGTGCACTACTTCTTCACTTTATAATGTTCTTTTAGATCGCTGCCCATCTAAGAACTCTCGATTATTTTAAACGACCTGATTATCACTTCATTTATCTGAAGTTTATGGACGTTATTTCAAAACGAAAATATAAGTAAGTTAATCCCATCGATGTTTCTTTCGAATGGTAAGTTAGGAAGCCAAGCATGTATCATCTCGAGGTTACAATCTCATTGTGTTGCAATTGTGGTAGCATTCATCTGAAAGCTCAAAATTCACGTGAACCCTTCAAACTGCTTACTTAATGGATTTGTTCTACAGATTTAGCGATCCTTATGACTGGGAACATGGAGAAGTTCGTCATCACTCCCGAATCGATGCCAAGAGTACACCACGAACTAAATCAAAAACCACTACTCCAACGGGCAGTCGCGAATCATCCGAATTGTAAGTTATTTCAATCAGGAATCGCTCGTTCTAGAAACTGTTCAGTTCACATCAATTTTCATCGTTTCCAAAAGTAATATTCCGTTTTCACCATCGAATAACCATTGGATTTGCAGAAAAGCTCCAGCAACTAACGACGATACACACGGGCAACCGGATAACACAGCTCCATTGTCGGATCGTTCAAGTGATTCAGAATGCGATCTTTTTCAAGAGGCTGATTTTGAGAAAAACGAACTTGGTTTATGATATCGCATAATTCTATCATGTCAACGCAATCAGTCTTTCACAGTATTGTTTGTGACCTGATCAATACATTCAGCACAACTACACCGCAGTGATTTCATCGGCATTCATTACGATTCATTTAACAATTAATAACTTCTATAGGATTCAAGCAATCGAATGCTCTGAATTTGTTATTATTTGCGACAATTTGAGATTCTTTATTCATAAAAACTTCTCATTCATCAAATAACGCAATATGCTGAACATTTCATCTGTTGTAATTCGCAAAATGTCGTATATGAAAGCACTGATTATGTGCTGATCATCAACACAAATTCGGCTCCAGCTTTTTGTTTTCTCATCCAAAATATTTGCTCCTTTCACACATTCCAGTTGCTCTTTTCACGTTCTATAATATCCCCACCACTGCAACTTCACCACCCTCAATATCTTCGCCAACATGTTTCCAATCGTCCTGTCGCCAGCTACTTTTTTTTNTTTTTTTTCGACTTGACCGAGAGCACTATTAGCTTTGCTCGTTCACCATGGTGTTAACCACAGATAATGAATCATTCATTTATCGAATACATGCGCTGCGATTTGGATAGTTTCCTACATCATCTAAGAACGCACTGAGACCTTAGGGGGAACACATAATTCAGGAAATTACACACGACATGTCAACTGAAAGCACTTGTGTGTGGTGATCAAAGCGATATCATCTATCTGCCCATTTCGCATCCATAAACCATAATTGTGCACACAAATCTGCCTCGCAAACAAAAGCCACCCGCTGAGGCGATCGCTCTTGTCCTACACGATTGTGTGCATAAACTGTTTGTCCCCTCAATCCTTGTGCGTCGTTCCGTCTCCTCAGTCACCCGTCCCCATCCTTCAACTATCCATCCGCTTCAACTTTGTCGGAATAATGATGATTGAGTCCAATCATGTTACATTTAACTTGGAGTAAATAATGAATGACGACTCGTTTGTCTCTGTTGAATAATACGAATCAAATTGTGGTATCAGAAATGACAAAGGTGCTTAACGTCATGATTGTAAGCAAAAGGTCAGGGTTAACTTCCGAATTCCACATCGTTACAAAATGAACCCATGAAAAAACTACCCGCCTCTCTTGTTCCCATATTTTGCAATAAGAAATTCCAGACGACATCCTTGAACTCAATGCAGTGTTTCTGATCTCTTTAAGATGAATGAAATGAAAGAATTACAGGGTGAATAGTCTGTAAAAGAACGACGAGATATTGGAACGTTTATTGATGTGAAAGGTTTGATCAAGACACTGCAAATAATAAAAAATGAGGAGAAAAGAGACCTAAAATACTTTATACAACGGTGAACTTAGCATCACCGAGAGCGAACTGGAGGATACAGAATAAAATAATATTCCACGAAAGAAACTGTATTCGAGTTGCACTAAAATACAGTTGCCAACACAGACATACAATTACTCAAAAATAAACAGAACTGTAAGATTTCAGTGAAATATTCCCAAAACGGAAATGAAATTGGTGTAAAATACTGTTATGAGATATAAATAGAAGGCCACAAGTGAGATCGAATAGGGAAAACAAAAGTGGAATGGACAATTTCAGTTAGTTCGAGTTATCTGATGAGCACATACGTGATTCGGTTTGCAATGAGTCGTCGCCTAAAGTTTCTTCACTCGTTTCCAAATCAATTACAGGCTGAAACGTGATCGAATCGTTAATCGCACTTCAATCATTCCAGTACTCCTCCATATTCTTTCTTGCCTAACTTAGACTCAATAATATACTTTATCTAAATGGTGCAATCTCAATTTCATCCCATACCTATACTACTACAATCCACTTATGCCGGACAAATTTCTAAGGAGTCTTTAAACGGAAGAACAAAACCTGCTAATAACGAATGAATTTGATGACAGAAAAATCTTTGCGATAATGATGTTGTCAATGGAATCGTGATTTCAGAATTCTTCGCAGAAAAAAAATTTAAAAAACCACAGTCGAAATTGAAATAAATAATAACTGTTGCCATGACGAACCTTTGCAAAAACAGCAGCTCTACGAGATTTCCTTGCGGAACGCTGTCTTTCAGCACTCTCGGATCCAGTTTTACTACGTGGTGATGAAGAGTTCTTTCGCGGTGATCGCTGTTTCTTCAAAGGAGGGGAAATGGATGACTTGGCTTGTTCCGTTTCAAGACGCTCCAATGGCTCTGTTAATCTACAATAAACGATAAAATAAGCTAATCTTGGACATGAACTTGGAAAGAGTACAAAAAATCATACTGATTAGCTTAGCCGAGCAAGTGAACCAAATTGAAAGACCGTCCTGTTGAATATCTCACGATCAATAAATTCTCCCTGATCAGAAATCTGCAGAAGTAACTGCATAATCCTTGCTAATTTGTTAGCTAACTCCTAGAATTAATCGAAAAAAAAGGTAGAACATGAATTCTGTTGACAACAGAAGTATATTCCAACGAACTTTTTCGTCCTATCCGTATATTTCACAAATTCAGCCACTTGTCTCTTGCGCACTGGAGATAGCATTTTTCGATCACCTCTGAATGGCGGAATCCCGCCCTCGTCATTTTTGCTTGTCACTGCAATATTCGTTTAATCCTTTATACTTTCAGAAAATCGAACAATTGCAAAATATTTCAGAACGGTCAAAACATTATGCAACTGAGCAACTTTTCGCTAACCACCTGGATGTATCGAAACTGATGAATGCTGATGACTAGTGGAAGCATCACTCGCCCTTCTTGCCACCTCAGGGGCGTCATTTTCGTCGCACTGTCCGTCCAGTGCTTGCGAACATTTGTTTGGCCCATTACTGCCCTAAATAAGAATTTTTATGAATAAACTAAGCGAGAAATATAGATTCCCAATGTGAGATGCAGCACAAATTAATAGTGATATAAATTTGGAATGACATGATGTAATATCAGCGATAAGATTCGTTGACGAGATCAAAATGAAACTGAATAAAAAACCTTGGCAACCTTTGGAGGTTGCAGTACTGCCCTATCCTGTTGACTCAAATCAGCCCCATCGAGTGCATCAAGAACGGCCCCTTAAAACATAATTCATTATTGCATCGAGTAATAGAACGTGAGCTGCAAATGACGAACATACACAAATTCACAATTATCTATTACATGTGAAGCGTTCACATCCTCTTTCAAAAAATATTGAGCAAATGTAAATCTGTTGAAGCTCCATGAGTAGTCAGAGTTGATTCGAATGAATCAAGGCAATTATGTATACTGGGAAAAACTGACTCTGACATCGCATTGTTTCACAAATTTTCGAGGCTTCAACCAGCACATTTTTCGTACAATCGAATGTCTTATATATGCCAACTAATCGATCGCCCAATTCGAACATATTGTTTCGCAACGAAATTATTATGAACTGAGCGTTTTTGGTGCGATCCTGCAAGCGTTCTTTGAGATTATGACTAATTTTATAGCTTATCGGCTGTTTTTTTTTCTTACTAGATCGGAGCATAATACAACAATGCAGCAGTCAACAACTACTGATATGATGATCAACTAAAAAATTTCGTTGCGTAAGGTGGTTGGGCAATATGCTTATTCATGTTCAGTGCCTCGCAACCGAAGGAATAATATCATCGAGTTTTAACGGCAATAAGGAATAATCGAGAATAATCTCAGTTTTTCGAAAATGCAATAGTTAGATTACCTTGACATAATGAGCAATGATAGAGACATTCCTGAAGTCGAGTGCAGCATCGATTTCATCCATAACGTAAAGTGGTGTAGGACGGTAATGATGGAGGGCAAAGACTAGTGCCAGTGACGATAACGTCTTTTCACCACCGGATAAATTTGTGATCTGTTTCCATGACTTTTTCGGAGGACGTACCCTGCAAAGCAGTTGGAATCAACACAATTCGCAGCCTTTCGTTACACTCGGTTGGACCTTCTGATTTTACGGATTTCAGATAGTGTTATCACAGAAACACGATTTTTAAAAAAAAATGTTAGATCTGAAGGGATCAATTAATATACCCAAACGAAACGCCTTCGCTGAAAGGATCAAGTGAATCGACTAGATCCAAGCTCGCGTCACCACCAAGTGTAATCATCTGATACATCTCTTTGAGCGCAACACCAATCTGCGAGAACCCGTCCATGAACTCACATAAACGCATCGCTTTCAACTCCTCGCAGAATTTACGATGTTGATCCTTTTTCATTGATATTTCCTTCAGACGATCTAATTCTCTGTCATACCTTTCCAGCTAAAAGGTACTTTTTTAAAATCAACTTTCGGAGGAACCGAAAATGGCGATAAATGAATTGGTTTTTCTGCAAATCGACAAAACACTCACGAACAACCCTTTTATCAACTCTTCGTTTTCAATAATTTTTGACGGAAGATACCCAATAATTCAGATGATATTCAATAAAGTTTCCGATAAACACGTACTTTAGCGATGTAATCTTGTAAGTGACTCAGGTTAGACGTTTTACCCGACTTTCTCTTCTCTAGAGTTGTCAATGCAAATCTGAAGCAAAATTTAAACATTATTCAAAAGCGAGACACATTTGAAATTCACATTTCTGTACAATGCATCAGCTTATAAATTGAACTGGAGAACAAAAACAAGCAAGGAAATCTAATCAAAATATGATAATCTCAATCAATGAACCACGGAATCGACACAAGAAATAGGACATAACGATAACCAGTGGTAAATTTCATAACTGAAAGCGTTCCGCAGCACCACCTACGACATGTTTGGATCCAACTGAATGATAAAATTTTAGAATTATTGATAAAATGCATCCACTAACCTTATATCGTTCACGACGAAGTTTTCAATTTCTTCGGGTGAAAAAGTAGGCATTTCATACAATTTTATGATTCCCGTTTTGTCGGCCTTCGCAACGACTTCGCCTTGCTGAATAATTGACTGAATCATTGAACAAAACTCGAATTGAAAAATCCACAAATAAAGCATTCGAAACTGTCTGTGTTCAACTGTCGTATTACAAAGAGCAACTTCAACATAATCAAATCAACTCTGACCAAGCAAACTTGAACAGGAAAACCAACTGAATTGCAGAAAATAATTGAAAATGACGTACTGCGAGTTTACGAATAAATTCTCGCTCATTTTCGATCGCTTCTTGGAACGCCAAATTCTCTTCCTCTTCTATTTCACTTACATGCTCCGGTAAACGCTCGATGCATTGTACGTAATCAAGATGTAACGATGAGAGCTGCAAATTTCCAATACTATTACGATGAAATATATAAAGAGTAGAAAACGGAAAACGCGGAACTGTTCCTGAGGCTTATTGACATTATTGCGTATCAATTGCAGATTTTGAAGTGAAAAACGGTATGCCATAAGTGAAGAAAAGATGAAAGTATAGTTACAATGACATACAGCAGGCATTGAAGCCATGCCATGTGATCAATTTGGCAATGAAAATAAAAAGAAAGTGCTGCAATCCCAGACTGATCATTCTGAGACATCGCATAAGAAATAGAAAGTCAAGAAAACTGATCAATAATAGACCTCAGCATTAATGCCGTCGGCTTTGGCTCGAGCTTGTGAAACGACATTTGTCTGATCATCAAGTTTATGCGACAGATCGTTGAGTTTCCTGCGTAGATCCACCTCTTCTGTGTCCAAATCCGTGCACTTCGTTGATGCTTCTTTCAGTTTGTTCTCAGCTTGTTTAACACATTCCTTCAAAACAAAAACAGCCTATCATTCAACCCCTACATCGTGAAACTCTCAACGCTATCGTTTCGTTACCGATTCCTTGCTTAACACCCGCATTATCTCGCCATCATTAGCACTTCTCGATAACACGCTCTTTTTGTGGTCAGGTAGAATAGCGAAGAATGAGAGATACATGGCGTAAACAATCAAATTCAATCTCATTACCAATATGAGTACTGAAAGGACCGACGGTTATGCAGCTAATTTATTATTAGTGATACAGAACACGATTGTCATGCTGATGTAAAATCCTCATAAAATGTGAGATAAACGCAAAATTAATTGTTACTGGACTGAGTTGGACCGGCAACATCTTCCTCGAGGTGTTGCCGGTCCAATCTGCCGGAGGTCGAGAAAACGAGTCCTCCTAATAAAACACCACTTCACTTGCCCACTAGTGACAATGTAAACCATAAGGAATCTAAAAACCAACCTTCCAATTCGCTTAAAACATATAAATTGACTAATATGATCACAAAAGTATGTATTAACTTTAACATAATACAGTTTTGGGTTAACGCGAGAAAGAATGCAAATTTCAATTTCCTCAAGCGAAAACGATTGCTCAATGAGATTAAAATGGATGGGACGTGCATTCAACCTGGCATTCACACTTTTGTTGTGCCATTGCCTCTGCTTTTTGGGTTTGATTTTCACGATCCGTTTCAATCCTTTCGATATTTTTCTCCGTTTCGCATAGATCGGCTTCCAAATCTTTCTTCCTGGAAGTTTACGTCAAATCAGATGAGCTTATGAATAGATCGCAAATGACGAAAATATTTTCGTTGAACAGAAAAAATAAAAAACTCATGTGAATGCGACAGAAATATACTGGACGGAGGAGAACATTAACCCCATTTGAAAAAGGGTAGGTAATTTTAATATACTCGATCACCTCGTAGTTCACCAACAAGTCACGAGACATCTCGAAATTCGTGAAGAATTCCGAAATATCTCGTGACTTGTATTTTGAGTTTTGCATAGTTACACTCCACGAAAACACTGAAGTGTCACTGCACAAAAATAAGCACGAGCCTCACTCACAAAAACTGCGATTGTGCAAGCCATATAAAAATAAGATGACGAATCTCAAATACATTTTCCAGTTATTCGACTTGAATTACAAACCTGGCTTTTGCTTTATTCAAATCTCTTTCAGCGTTCCTCACCGCACCGTTCTCCTTGGCAATACCCTTTGAAGCGGTCTGCTTTCTGTAAGAAGGAATTATTTGTGATCACTTCACAAACGTATTTAACCAATATTCAGTTTATACAAATTGGTCTCTGATCCAAAGTGACTCGAATAATTTCGTCATAATGTCTCAAAACTACGTGAAAAGAATCGAAATAATAAATGTTTACTTAGCCATCGCCTCATCGAATAGTTTCTTCGAAGGTTCAACAAGTCTAGCGTAAACCGCTTGAATTTTTTCGGTTAGTTCCGTGACGTGCTCTCGAACCGTATCTGCTGCTTCGCAGGCAATATCACGCTCTGAAATACCAGGTATCAATATATGGTAAGTGCCGATATGCTAATACCAATGGAATTGTTAATGACAAAGAAATCGAAACACCATTCAGCATGGTTCGGCAGCGCTCCAGAATGATATGAATAATGATAGGCGAACAGTGCGCGGAAATAATCCGCACGAAAGTACACTTACTTCGTCTGAATCAGACTCGGATTTAGGCTCACTTTCAAACTGAGAGTAAGCTAAACTGAGAATTTGTAACGACTCTCTGTTACGCCTCTCCAAATTATTGTTCCATAATATATGAAATTCAGGAACCTTTCTCGAGATCAGCCACTTTCAGCCGTGCTTTTTCTACGGCCTCTTCATCTGCTGCAGCACCCTTAGCTCGTATCTTCTGCTCTCGTAATCGTTTTTCAAGATCTTCTGCCTTCTCTTCCAGTGATGCAATGTCGGTCGTTAGGTTCTGCTGATTTCGCTTCAGTCGATCGTAGTCCACTTTCAGTGAGTTCAATCGTGTTTCAAGCTATAAATCAATCAGAAGAATAATTTGCATAAGACATGTTAGCAAACGTTTCCGATATGCTGTTCCATATTGTCGACTTAATTGACAAGTGCTTGCTTCTAATCATTTTTCACGAAGGAGTTAATCAAAAAACAACAGAACTTTGTTCGAATTTGTTCATCTCAACTATAATACTGGCATATCGTCAATTACGAAGTATGTCTGGTTCAGTATGAAAGACTGAACGATAAATTTTCGGAAATATCTAACAAATGTTGGTAACAATAATTTGATGAACGAGTTTTACCTGCTGAATATCTCTTCTGATATTGGTGAGTCGTTCTTGTTCTTGTTCGACAAATTTCTGAAGGGCAGATATCTGCTGAGCAGAGTCCTTCGTTGTATCCACTTTAATATCTTGTCCAATACGACCTCTAAAAAGTCATCCTTGAGTGGTTATCAGATCAATGAAGCGTTTACGACCAACTTTATGTTAAACTCATTCTTATTAATGCATCTTCTGTTTCAATGCATTAAGGTTTTTTCCATACAGAAATAGGGAAGTTTGCCTTATAAAATGCAATAAGTAACAATGATGTGATTATAAACACGAAATGCTCACCTTTGCTCACTACGTCCACCACCAGTCATTGTACCACTCGGTTCCACAACCTCGCCTTTCAGTGTAACGACTCGATGTCGTTGCCTACTTCCTAAACCAATCCGAGTTGCAGTCGCAATATCATCGGCAATCAATGTATCACGTAATGCATAATAAAACGCTGGAAGCACCGCTGCATCAGCAACCTTAATCAGTCATTTGATGATTTTGCAAAACTTGTCACAATGTAAGGCGAACATTGACAATAAACAATATCGCTCTTGCAAACATGACTGAAGAAACAGCATAATCTCTTGATAACAAAATCGAAAATTGTATGTTCTCGCAAATTCCTAACTTCGTTAATGCAAAAAAAACGAAATAAATTCGAAATTGAACATCGTTCATTGTTATCGTTTAAAAGGCAATAAAAGAAAGCAATAAAAGCATACGTATGATCGGGTTTCTTCATATGAGGTCTGAGTCTCTCTTGCTTATCGAGTACAATGAATGACGCAATACCGAGACATTCACGCTTCAGCAATTCCACGCAACGTTGAGCTGTTTCGACCGTATCAACGACAATGTAATCAAGTGCACCGCAAGTTGTTGATATTGCTACATCATACTTCTGGTCGATTGCTCCAAGATCACCCTACAGAATGTGGCTTCAATTGTTCATTCCCGTAACATCCAAACAAGGAACTGATGCTAAGAATAAGTGGAATGTTTCCATTGCATTACTTTAAAATGATAGCCCTCATCCTCAATCGCAGTTTGTATTATCGTGATACAGGTACGTGATTCAACACATCATAATTAGTGTTCGTCGGAGAACAGAGTTCCCGACGGGTAGTAGTTCCTCTATAATTTTGCTCCCCCACGAACATTAATCACGAATGCTCAATTCAAACAAACGGCACTCACAAGTCGGCCAAATATTCCCGGAATTGTGCCCTTGTTCTTCTCTCGCATCAGTCGGTTCAGGAGATTGTTTTGACTACGGAAAGCCTCAACGGTCTGCCGCTTTTGCTCAAATTTCGTGCGACTGCTCCGCAACTGAAATTGGCAATACTATCATTTGGAACAAAGCTGTCACAAAGAATCACCTCGTATAAATATTCAGCTTCATTTTTGTTAATTAATAGAAAACTCATATCGATTGAACAAACGATGAATATCCATCTTAAGAATTAAACGTTCGCAGTCAATACAGGTGTTGAAGTGCTCTGTTGTTTTCAGTAGAGCGTCTATAACTCAAGCTATATAACAAAATTCGATATCACAATGATAATTATCGATGTTCCTAATTCTCCATTAAACGCCGAACGTTGTTGTTTTAAAATTTCTTATTTTCTTCAATTCTTTTCATGTTTTCCAATACATCTTATTTAATATCTCTGAAATCTGCCTTTGCGCTTTTTTCTGATCGTGCAAATGAGCGGATGTTCAAAAAATCACATGCTTACTTTTTCAGCAGATTCAGCTTCTTCTTCTCTCTTCGCCGCCAGTTCGGTTTTAGTCCGCTTGATTTCCTCTTCTACATTCGGTAGCGCTTTGGAAGCCTTCGTTAGATCGCTAAATAACACGATCAATCATCATTAATAATAAAAGCACAAACATTCAATAACCACAAAACGAAATCAGTATCACAACCCTTCTTTAGCATATACTTAGTTAAAAAGATCCCAAATTTATCAATTTTCGCAAGTCGTTGCTCGAATGAACCGATTCGAACACTCTGCATTACAAACGCAACGACAAAAAACGAACCAAGATTGAGAATCGCTGCATTTAGATAATTTCATCGTAACTTATCTCATAAAGAAATTAACTTTTCACTGACTTCAATAACAATGAGATTTGAAGAAGCGATGCGAATATACAGTTGCGAATATATAATAAATAGCTGGTTGATTTGCACATGAATTGGACAATGACTTGATTATAAGAAAATTACCTTTTCTTGCTTTCCAAAGAATCTCTTGCTTCAGTCAATGAGGTTTTCAAATCGGAAACCTTTTTACGTTGTGTTTCCTCTTCACTTCTGAGTTGTTGCAACGCTTCTTGTGCTAACACTAACTAAAAGATTTGAATGAACAATATCCTTTTGAATACGATTTGATAAATTTTTAGGAAGTTTCCGAATATTATCGAAGAGATTCATCAAAATGATCCATACAATAAGCTGGATTGAACGCTTGTCAAGAAATTATGTTATTTGTTTTTCGATGAAAACAAAACGATACACTGAATGTAAAAATCATTTAGTACAACACACCTTACTACCAGCTTCATTCTCTTTCTTAGACAGATCATGTAATTTCTCCTCTTCAACTTTCTTCTGCATTTGCAACTCCTGCGTTTTTTCTGAGAACTCTGCGAGCTTTTCATCTGTCTGAAAATAAAAACCACTCTAACACAAACTAAAAAGTTCACAATATCGCAGGAAATCAACGAAAATTCTAGGTCGTCCTCAGTGATAGCAGTTTGAGCATTAAATAAAAAATCCATTTGTAGTATTGCATTAGCTTACAAATTCCGCTCCTATCTGTTAAATTGAAAATTCGAAAAGCTGATTTAAAAAATAATCATTAAAGCACAACAGAAAATACGAAAGAAAATTTCAAGAAAAGAAACTCGAATAAGATGAAAGTATAAAAATATATGTGAACGTTTCGATTCAGCTTATATGTATACGTGAAACAACGTAAAATTATGCGTATTTTCAGCGAGTAATCTAGACGTATAGAAAATGCTCATTAGAGTATAATGCTGAGCGCAACGAAAACATTCTCCACCTCCGCCTTTTTATCGTTGATGACTTCATCGATATCTGCCAGAATTTTTTCATATTCTTCGATTTTTGCTCTCGCTTTAGCGGGTACACTCTCCAAATCGTCCAACTAGAAATTATTAGCCATGTTAATATTGTCATCAAAAATAGTTTTAACTGTGTCGGAAGAACACGACGGAAAAAGTGAAAAATTTAGCAAACTGCAACCAAAACAATGTGCATAACGAAATGAGAACCAAAGCTGAGCTGTCTCCGTTTAATTCTCATCCACATTCTTGAACTCGTTTAATGGCTATCATTACAAATCAAAAGCAAATTATAAACAAGCATATAATCTCATTATCGAAATTTGCGTCGTACAACTGACTCCATAAATCAAAATGTGTGCAAATCTACGAGCATGAGTGTACAATCGTAAAATTACATTATTTATATTCATTCTATTTAAGCAGAAAATGATTTAATCATTCCAGAAGAAAAGTGAAATTTGGCTAATATAAAGAAGTGAAAAACAGTGGAAAAGTGGCTTAACCTTTTTCGTTTCCTTTTTGAGGTCCTCTGATAACTTTTTCTTTTTATCATTCAACCGTATCAACTCAGCCTTACGTTTACCACCAGCCTGTTCGTTTTCAGCTATTTCTTTTTTGATCTTCTCAAACGCCTCTTGCGCTCGATCAACTTCTCTTAAAATTACTGCAACTGTATCGAAAACTCCTACGCCTGTTGACTTCAAAATTAAGGAATAAAACAAAATTGTCACTTGAATTTGTTGAATAGCAACTTTTTGGCCGAAGATGACCTTGTCGGGGGAGTAAGGTGCCCGAAATGGGGAAAGAGAGTTTCGAGGAGCAATTCTTCCAAAGAAAGATGCCCCAATCAAAGTTTCGAACTGCTAGATCGTTAGAACCTCATCAACGAACACTAATAACGCTTACATTAAACCATAATTAGTGCTNTTACTGTTGCCTCATTCTAATTATTATCATTCATTTACATAAGATGTTTCAAATATCAATATGCAAATAAAATCGAAATGATAAGTTTAGCATCTTGTAACATACAATTGGAGACCGTCCAGTTCCTTTTTCCGATTTGAACGTACTTCGAGCATCTCTTTCAGCCGTTGTTTCGCATCGGTTTGCTCTTCACGCATTTTCTTTTCGGTCTCCTCTTCGGTGTTTAATAATGAAGCTGCTTCTACTCTACAACAACATTCACGTAATCTTTCCACTTATTTTGTCACATACAACAATGGAATAACAATCAGTGGTTGATTGGAACATGTGAATAATACCTTTTTATTTGCAACAGACGATTTTTACATAATGTAACAGCGTTATCGATACGAAGTTCCATCAGAATACCCTTGACAGGTCCTTCGAGTTCGTCCTTCTCCTTTTCAGCCATACGCACCCGAGTCAGTTGTCCGGAACGTTCTTCTTGGAGTGATTCAATTTTTTTCTCGAGTTTTTCAATTGGCACCTTCAATCACCAATGAATGCTAATTATTCACAAGAAATAAATTATGCAACGTTATTCGTCGATCAACGCGCAACAAAACANTCACCTTAAGTCTACTCGACCCAATAATATCCTCCAAATATTCCAGCATTCCTTCATCGTTCTCTGTTACCGCCTTTGGCTTCATCATAGCAATCTGCTCCACTTCACCCTACAGACAATTTGCCTTTAAACAGCAGTCAGCGTTTGTTGTCAGTGAAGAACATTAGTATGACTCAACGAAGGCTAATCCTAATTTATATCATGCAACGACTGGAATATGATCTTGCAAAAGTGCTTACCTGTAGAATAAGAAAACGATTATGAATGAGGTCAATGCCAACTTCACGTAATCTTCTCGCTATATCTTTGAACTGAACTGTTCTACCATTTAACGTATACTTTGAGGAGTTATCCCGGTATGCCGTACGTGATACTTTGAAGCAACTTCCCTCCACTATGTCGAACTTTCCGTCTGGCTGAAATTCGCATTCTTGCATCATTAAAGCGTGATCATAAAAGATCCACATTTCATTTCATCACAGTAATATACAGTTAGATTTCTCGCCTCACACAAGCGAACGGAATAGTTTTAAAACAGGATCCGAGCAGCTCAGTTCTTCTACCTATACTTACCTAAAGAAAAGGAAATTACAACCTTGTATCTCAAAAGAAAGTACAACTGAACATTAAACACGCATTAACTGAACAGCAAGAGATACTGGCATTCTTCCGGTTCACTTTAAACCTTACGATAACACAAGAAACTAACGTCACAAAAAATCCAGTACAATAAGAATAAAACGGCACGTACTCGGTCGACGATTTTCTGGAAATTGACGCAAACGGTACAACTCTGCAAATTTTGATTGCCTTTCGACGAGTGAATCAATACTGATATCTTCTTTGAGCGAATCTTCGAAGCACGATAACCGAACACAAACAACAGAGAATCAATAACATTGCTTTTGCCACTGCCGTTGGGACCAATTATAGCCGAAAAATTCTGGAAATACCGCGAATATTGAACACAAAAAATTACCGAAGACTTCCAGATCATCGGTGCTAATTGAGATTGAATGCTTTAACAGCAAAAATAAGAACGATGCCACACCAGAACGAGTTAAGCTTGAAATACTGCCTTTCAATGGAATGATGACATCAAATTATCTCATCAAAAAGTCATCAAGAGTCTTAATATAATCAAAACCTACATGATGGAATGGCCCAAGCACATGCTTTCCGTAGTATGATTTGAAGTTCTCCACTTCAATGCTGTGTATCACTAAACGCTGTCCAGTTCCATCTGAGCTCATAATTGGCTCAGGTTTTGGTGGTATTTCCATATGCAGGAGATCCTGAATTTTACAAACATAAAACGGTAAAAGATATCAGTGTTGATTCACTCGTACCACATTTTGAGAGGATTCAGCTACATAAAATATAATGTTGACACTGGACAGGAATACTACATACTAAAAATACTAAAAAAATACTAATACTAGGAATACTAAAAAATGTTCACAAGAACAAAACGAAACCTCCTCATCGATATCGTTCAGCATCTGCGCTCTTAAATCCTCATCATCAGCATCAGTTTCTTCGATAGGTGGACGATCATCGTTCATACCACCTGAATAAATTAATGGTTATAAGCCAGCTCATGCTGCTATAAACAATGTAATCGCTACAACCCTCCCAGCCTAGGTATATAAATAATTGAAAAACATACCACCCGCATCTTTTTCTGTTCTTTTCCTCTGTCTCCGTGGAACATTCTCTGCATGTATAACAGGGGCCATGTCCAGAAGCTGAAATCAAAACAACGTCATCAGTACAATTCTCAACGATCAGTTAAATACGACGCACAAACGGTGCAACAGNATTGCCGGCCCTGGACCACCGGCCTTTTGCCATGCTGGGCAAAGACCAATCGGAATTGATTAGAAACTTGCATGGTCTTGGCCCGGCCTGGTAGCAAGGACGGACAATTCCAAACCCTGAAATTGACTCCTTCCGAACTGCACATTATGAATGGCTTGTTATGAAATGTCACGGTTAAATTCCAAGTTAGGCAATCTATAATAACAACGAAAGCGTCAATAAATCAGTAACAAATGCAGATGTGATCAGCAGAAACATGAGAAACGGATCCAAGATCAACAAAATTCGCTGCCAGAATCTCAGAAGAACGATAGAATCTCATAATAAATGAAAAAAGGATAATGTGAAACGAAGACCACCCGTGATTCCCGCCTTTGAATTGGAGTGCGAAATTCAAAAACGTTCTTCACTATTACAGCTCACTGGTCTTTGATTAGAGCTCAAATGATGGCAAATTATCGTTGAGTTTTCATAAATTTACAATGAACCGAGGAAGATGAACGTTCGATCATAGCAACAACTTGAAAGCACGAAAATGATGTGAAACATTGATACAGTCTCATCAGTACAACAATACGATTGCAGTGATATTACAGAGGAATTTGTTGATGGTGCGAGAGCAAACTTTGCGTGAATAGTTCGGACGAAATTCAAAGACACGAGTAGTTAGCAGCGATCTGAGGGGCGGTTATGGATTTCGTGGAAGGCTTAAATTCGGTTGTGCAACAGAGAGCGTTAAGCATTCAACTGAATCAGAGAACTACCCGATCGAATAAACATAACATCATAAAGGAATCAAAGACCTTGTGCCGCCAACAGCGAATCAGTTTTATTTTCACTAAAAATTTTCCCATGTTCAAACAATCACGAAGCAATTAATCGCTAACTAACCGTACGATAAAATGGCTATTCGACACGACTGGTCACTGGCAAAGATAAAGCAAAACTAGAAACAACGGCTATTCGACGAAGCAAAATGTGAGACGAAAGCTATTCGATCCAGCCAAAACATCTCGTGGTCGGTCCGACGGGGGTCGTATACGAATGGTAATTCATTCATCTTATTCGGTTCTTCAAGGGAACAGCAGTTCCTAAAATCTAATAATAATGTTCCCAAAACAATCCAGGTGGACAACAGTTCCCACAATATATTCGCTGAGAAATCCTCCGCAACTCCAAGCTGATCATCACTTAACTATCCCCAGAGCCCCGCTATCTCCCGTATCTCCCTCGTCACGATTCAAGTGTCATCAAAGCGCCAGTGACCAGTGGTCGCGTTGACTATTGTATTATTGTATCTGTCTCTATACCGTACATCCCCATTTGCAACTACCTGGCCGATCTCACTACACCTTGATACTTTAGAAGTGGACAGACATAATTGAGGAAAACAACGAATGTGAAGAAGTTATGTTTTTAACACATCAAATCTTACTCCTCACAGAGGTATTCGCCAATTGAAGACTATGGGACTAACGACGAGCCGTATTTCCGACGGAGACTTCTGACGAAACTTTTTTCTTCTTTCTTATAGTTGCCAAATAGGAAATCTTACTCAGCGAAAATGTTGCAATATAATAACACTGACTGACGTATCAGCCGTTTGAACAGAGCCAGTAGGCCATTTTGACATAATACTATTTACAAATATATGAGGACAATGCGATTATTCGAGAAATTTTCAAACCTTATAAAACAATGTTTTTCGTACGTTATGTAAATATAGTTGGAAGTGTCAAATGTTTATGTAAACATGCA